GGAGAGAGAGAGAGAGCAAAAGCGACCATGATGCAACCTGGTGAGATCTGCTCAAGAGTTTAAACCTCATCAACCAAAAAGAGAGTTTATATACCTGTGGTCATGAGAGCGGACTTGATTGCAGAGGGAGACCAAGTTGGATGCACAGCTTTGATCAAGGCTACAATTCCTGTTACATGTGGGCAAGCCATAGATGTACCAGAAAGTATATTGGACTCCATCTTTTTACTAGCTGGAGACCAAGCAGCTAGTATATTCAGGCCCGGTGCCATGATATCAGGCTTTAGCTCCACATAAAACACCGAACTCATTGGTTAGCAATGGCTTGGCTCCCAACATAATGATAACAAAAATAATAATACCAACACAAGAAAAACAAAATTTATTATTATGATGATGATGGTTATGATCATTTTGGTAAAAGCAACACGGTAGTAGTAGTAATACTAACAGACAACTAGTAGTAATCATAAAGATTGAATTTGTTGGGTGACTTTGGATACCTTGAGAATGTTTGGCGTTAAGCTATTAGGACCCTTGGAAGAGAAGGCAGCCACTCGAGGGGCCGGTAGAGAACCCATTATGGTTTTCGCTGGCTCGATTCGAGATGTGGGGTTCCTGAAAATTTTGTGAAAGAGGACACATTAATAGAATCAGCTTAATCTCCTATAAATATAAAAGAATCTCATAAACAGGACACTACATATAATCACTAAGAAAAGAAACTAACGATCAACAAATATAAATGAAGCACCTTGTATGGTTGATGTATGATAAAATACTAGTGCCTTTCTTTGCGCCAACAATGGCAGCTGGTATAGCAAAGGGAATGGCAACACCCTTATCGACTTCATCGATGAGAATCATCCCTACCCCACCAGCTTCTTTCACTACTAAACTCTTCGCAAGCTTCGATTCAGAGGAACTCTCAGCATGGCGACATACAAGAACCTTCCCTCTAACCTTTGTGCTATTCAAAGAGCTCTCCAAACAGAAACTGCATCCACGGAAGCACAATGAGAATGTCATTTCTTTCCTTACTCCAAGAAGGAAAACAGTAAAAGGAAGGATATTGGGCATTTATGTCAATGCCAACCTTGATTGATAAGGAGTGAAGTACCCAGCATTTGTATCTGATGCAGATATGACGGTTGTTGACTTTTTCATCTTTGTGATAGTAAGGCTGTCACCCTGGTCATGGTTATTCAGAAAGTCACTGTAAAACCAATCAAACTTGAGCTTTTGACATAATGTAAGTCTCCAAAGGAATTTGACAATATATCCTATAACATACCGAACTGAAGTAAATCATTAGTGCTATGTTAAGACCTCTGAACGCAAATATCTTAAAGAATTATGTAACAAGAGAGAGAAAAAAGATCCCATATTCAAGAACTTCGTGCTGTGATAAGAGGACCCTCAAATAGGATGAGAGATTTCTACTTAACCTAGGCCCTGAATCCTAGGGGAAATATCTCTAAAAACAAAACAAATATGCTGCAAAATACAGGACTAAGTGGCAGCTATATGCAAATGAATGTAAGGAGGGACCTGCCAAACGCTATCAATGCCGCACCATAATGCGTGTGTGTGTGTGTGTATGTGTGTGAGAGAGAGAGAGAGAGAGAGGAAATTGGCCTGAGATTGTGTAAAGGGACATTAGCGCACCGTGAAGGTCTGATTGTTTCCAAGAATGATATCAGATGTGAATTCTCTATCAGTCGAACCAGCAGCAACAGTGATCATCCATGGTGCCAAGTTAGTAGCAGTGCCCCGATTCCCTTCATTCCCCGCAGAGGAAACCACTGTAATTCCATGGCTAACTGCATGGAAAGACCCGATTGAGATTGCATCATTGAAATAGTCTCCTTGTGGAGAATCAGGTCCCAAAGAAACCGATAATATGTCCACCCTATCTTTGATAGCATCATCAAAGGCAGCCATTATATCTGAATCAAAACATCCTGAGTCCCAACAAGCTTTATATGCCGCAATTCTAGACATGGGTGCTCCCCCTCTTGCCCCCCCACTTGCTAATCCATTAAAGTTCATGTTCTCTACATAGCGACCAGTGGCAATTGAAGCAGTGTGGCTTCCATGGCCATTGCTATCTCTTGGTGACTTGAATTTAACTGTCTTATCTAAACTTAAAGTGGGATTGTTATCCCCTCCTTGTTCAGCTTCATATCCACTCAAGTAATATCTTGCTCCTATAACTTTCCTGTAAAAAGCAACATATATATTGCATGGGTTCCATGGAATTTGAATAAAAACATACGAGGATGGGATTTATATCCATTTGAGCTATAATGTTCTCCAATAACTTTCATGTCAAAAAAATACATTTCTTTCAAAGTGGAGGCAATGGATTTTGAATTGAAAAATATGGGTGTGATATTTACGCAAGAAATTCCCAGGAGAAAGAGAAAAGAAAGTTAAAACCTGTTGCAGGTTGAAGAATTGAATGCCTCGCCGGTTTGGCATCGGCCTTTCCATCTCGAAGGAACAGGAGGCATCATTTGGTCAGAGAAACTAGGGGCTTCAGGCCATATACCTGAAATTTTTTTCACAACTTATAAAACAGCAGGATCAAACCAGACCTTGCTTATACCACTTGATTTCCTAGAGCAGAGAATATTTTCTTAAAATATATTTTCATTAAAAAATGGGTGCTATATACATGAAAGATACTTAAAGTACATCACCAAAAGAAGAAGAAGAAAAAAAAGAACTGTTGTTCCATTTCCATTCCAGGCGTCTTAGGCCGCAAATCCTTTCGATCTTGGGCCAATGATAAAATCAAACCAGAGTAAAATCAATCATTCTAAAGAGAGGTAAGTAAACTATCCACATAATGCTAAAATCAAAATTAAAGCAACAAACAAAACAACCCCATAACTTTCTATCTTAATATAACAGAGGCCATTAACCATCTTTCAGTTACAGGAACAGAGCAACCATTACAAAAAGAATTCGTGATTCTTGTTCAAACCATAGCTGCAATTTTCTACTCATTGAGAAGATAGGACTACCTGTATCAATAAAACCAACTATGATGTTTTCCTGGTTTTTGGTGGAGAAACCAGGAATCTCCATTGATTCATCATTAATAAGACCCATGAAATCCCATGAATGAGTAGTGTGAAGCCTTCTTTTCACGTTGGGGAACACGGAAACCACTCCATCCATCTCTGCAACACCACATATCATACATAAACAAATCCTCCCCAAATAACCAAAGAAGAGAGAGAGAGAGAGAGAGAGAGAGAGAGAGAGAGAGAGAGAGAGAGAGAGAGAGAGAGAGAGAGAGAGAGAGAGAGAGAGAGAGAGAGAGAGAGAGAGAGAGTAGTAGTAGTAGTACGTAGTAGTAGTAGTACGTACGAGTACGTACGTAGTACGTACGTACGTACGTACGTACGTACGTACGT